GGCAGGATTAGGAGATGAACGGTGGAAAGCACTACTGTCATCATAACGCTTCACCCATTAGGATGCTTCATGTTTTTGTTTTTATTTGTCTGTAATTCTTTACTCTTTCACTGCATATCAAAGCTCATTTTTCTCAAAATGTCAGTTCCTTAGCTGAAGGATTACCAGTGTCCAGTTTTACAAATTTATGCAATTATAATGCATAATCTATTTACTTCCCAGTAACTGGAGTATAGTCATCGCTGTGGGAATAAAAGCAAGACTTACAGTTCAGAGTAAAGAACACACTCATGTCATATAGCTTGTGCCAACAGGGTGGAACTCTACTTGGCCTCTGTGACATTCCTAACATCAACATAGAATCTTAATTGTAGTTTGTCTTTTTTTCAACAAAAAAGCATGTTACAAATGCTTTCAAAGAGCATTAATTCTGAAATTAAATTAAGGCTCTCACATTATTATTTCTGTTGATATACTAATGTTTCATTGTGGAAAAAAAGCAGTCTATAGTTATTACTATGTAGCTCTGCACTATGGGTAGTTACTGGCATCACAGGTATCATTTAAATCAATTCTATTTCATTGTGAAACTCTTTTTGTTATTATTTATGACAACAAACAACAATAATTATGTATGTTGTCTGACTTACTTTGATTTCTTACAGCCTCGTACTTCTTGTTTCATGATAAAGGATCCACCTATGCTTGTTAATCCCACTATCACTGTTCCAGGGTTAATAGTCCTAAATTGGAATCATTTTCCTTAGAGCTGAGCAGTTACTTACAACTCATAGCTTCAACAAAAGAAGACATTTCTTGTTTGTGGTAAAAGCTATATTCAAACAAAAATTAACATTTTTTGTGCCAGCTATTTATATAAAAATATATCACTCTAAAATTCACACAGCAAAACAAACTATAATTATCTCCTTAAAATGTTTTCCTTAAGACCTAAAGCTAAGGTAGTTATCAATCCCTACACAGTTTTCCTACCAGCTTTGACACTGTTTTACCTAAAAGATTCGTCAGTCTAGATTTTCATTTCTACTTCTTCAGCCTCTAAGGCAAATCAGTTTTACATGTCGGATTATATAAACCATTCCAGTCAACTAGTTAGTTAGCTCCAGAAACAGTGTTCTCTATATGATCTAACTGATTTGTTTCCATAATTCTTTTTAAGTATTTTAGGTTAATTTTCTAATTAAGAATCCATGTATTCATTCTAGCACCTATGATGTTTCAAGCCTGTTAATAACTTCTGACCATTTTACCAGAATGGTGCCGTTGTTTCCTTTTTTTTTTTTTTTTTTTTTTTTTTTTTGCTGCCAGTCATTTAAAAGACAAACTCCTAACTGCAGGCAATCCCCTACTTCTCTCCTCAATTTAAATGGCTGCTCTGTCACAGCATACAAATTTATTGCCCTCTTCTTTTGCCTGGCTTATTTCCACTCCTGTAATTTGCCTGGTTTATTTCCAATTGCCTGGTTTATTTCCATTCCTGTAAGATATTCTTTGAAATAATTCCTGCCTCCATAGTATAAAGAAGTATATCTAGGTCTGTTGTTTCCTTTATATTACATAAAAGCTTCTACATCCTGCTGTCTTTTTAGAAAAAAAATTCTTAATAATAAGTTTCTTTACAAAATATCATTTTTTCACCCCAATCATCTTTGTTATCTATTCCAGGGGAAGAGATACGATCATATTTTAGAAAGAATTAACATATTCTGAATTATTATACATGCAAATGAACTTTTAATGCATCATTGTATTCAAATATATGTATATTACATACACAAGTCGGTTTCCAAATTGTAATAATTATCTTTGTTTCAAATGTAATGAAGTTGAAAATTGGAGTTTAAGGAGAAAGGAAATATCTCAAATGCTTACTTTGATTAACTGAATGATATCTTTGTGTATATGGAATCAAAACAATGACTAATTTAATAAATTAACTCAAGTAGTCATTAGATGGGGTAAAATTCATATGAAGCAATTGCTTATCATCATGCAACTGCTAATTTGCCAGATTATTTAACTATGTAGCATTTATAGAAATACAGTCACAACAGATTTATTTATAATAAAAAAACACTTGTATATTTCAATTAGTTTGAGAGTATGACTTCAATTGTACAAATACATTTGAATATTACATGATAGTGAACTTTACATTGCATCTGAACACTATCTTATGCTTTTTCCCAAATTAATTCAAAAGACATCCTATTAGTTCTTCCTTTTAACAATGTTAGTTCTTCTAACATTAATTAAATAATTAAAGTTAGTTCTTGTTTTAACAATGGAATCATTAAATACATTTCAAATTATTCAATGCAAAATACTAGCTGGCACAATCAGTTAACTATCTTATCTCTCATAATTCAGTCTTGCCTTTTGTCTCATTTTAGAAATTAAACAATCATAATAATTGCATATATTTTAACTGTGATAGTCTTTCTATCAGATTAAAGGTTACTTTTATATAAAGAATTACAATGTATCTGAATTATTTGTACATGTAAATAAAAGTACCCACGACACAACAATAAAACAATGAATAAGAAACTCATTGAATAATTCTTGTTTTTAAGTAAAAAAAAATGTATAGATATTAAGGGTTAAATTGCATCTCCAACATAGTTTGTTATTATCATTGTGATTTGTTGTCTAATAATATTGACCTCTTAAATAATATAAAATATGTAGAGATTCCTGAGCTCGGGGACGCCTGGGTGGTTCAGTGGTTGAGTGTCTGCCTTAGGCTCAGGGTGTGACCTGGGTTCGAGTCCCACATCAGGCTCCTTGTGAGGAGCCTGCTTCTCTCTCTGCCTGTGTCTCTGCCTCTCTCTCTCTCTCATGAATAAATAAATAAATCTTAAAAAAAAAAAAAAAAAGAGAGAGAGAAATTCCTGAGCTCAACTCTACTTTTATGGGCTAAAGGTAAAGTGGTAAAATTGGCCTGCCTGTATGTTCTATTTCCCAAATGTGTTAATTCTCTAGCAAATAGATACCACTGTTTCTCATTATAATTCCTTAATTCTACAAAATGTGCTATTAGAATTGGAAGAGAAGTAACTGTACGTAGAGAAAAACAACTCATCCTAGTTTATTTTATGAGACTGGTAAAATCTTGATATGAACATCAGACAAAAATTTTACAAGAAAAGGCAACTACAAATCCAAATAGTCATGGATTAAAAAATATATGTAAATTGATAGATATAAAATAAAATATTAGCAAATCAAGTCCAGCAAAATATAATAGATAAATCATGACTGACTTGGATATATCCTATAATACAAATATGTGTAAAGGTTTTAAAAAGAAGTTTATATAACCTCTCATGTATACAGATTAAAAACACATGCTCATCTTGATAGATACATGAAAAGTAATTAATACAGTTAATGATAACATCTAATGAGGTGCTACAACATTCAGCAAACTAGAAATAGAACATAAAAGGACACATTTGTGGATACAAGATACCTTTTTTTAAAAATACCACTGCATTTATATTAAAAGTTCAAGATCAAGAACAATGTTAGATGTTCATTCTCACCACTTTTATTCATTATTATACTACTGCATATAGACAATTGGGTGTATTTTGTTGAGGATATGGGACATCAGAAACTCATTCATCACTGATGGGAATATAAGTTGGTATAGCTATTTTAGAAAATAATTTCAAAGAAATATTTTTCTGGGATTGAGAAACTGATTTTAAAATATTTTAGGCAATAAAAGAGTTAAGAATAGTTAAGGTTCACTTGAAGATAAAAAAAGTATCTATTTTTAGTATGTTTCATGTTGCATTATGACTTTTGACAAAAGTGCCAATATAATTCAAAGGGAAAGGATAGCCAATAAAATATGGATAGAATATATATTAATGGAATAGAATATAGAATCCAGAAATAAACCCACTGATATAAGTAGCAATGATATGAAGATGAATTGACATTACAAAGAAATATGGATAGGATAGACTTTTCAGTAAGTGTCACTGGTATACCAGTGTAACCACATTAAAAAAAGAAATAAAACAAATTTTTGTTTTTGTTTTTTTTTTACCTTATCCCCAAACAAAAAATAAATTCTGAGTTGAATACCTAAGCGTGAAATAACAAATACGAAGTTTTGATAATATTATATTGGAAGATATCTTCATTATGTTAATAAGAGAAAAAAGATTAGAAAAGGCTAAAAAGACAGTCTTCTCATAATGACAGAGATCAAGAATGCAATCCAAGCATATAAGTGCATTTGAAGTCCCTTTAACGCTCATCAACATTAAATTGACCAAAACAAATAATCTGGTCAAGCCCAGAGTCAAGAGGTGAGGAAATGCAATCTGCCATCATGAGGCCATGGTAAGTGTTTGGATGTTTAATACCCTACTGTAGAGTGAAAAATCAGAATCAATAATTCAGTCAACCACATCTTGAATACAAGCTAGAAAGAAAACGTTGGCATCCATTTATTTCTAACCAACTATTGTAGTTTTGCAATAGTGAATTTTTCATTCTTTTTTTTTTAAATCATGATACTACATTTGACAAATCAATGTATTTACTGAACAATGAGTTGGGAAGCACACCTATAAGCTTTCCCTAACACAAGCATAAAATTTCTCTCTAGTAGAACCAAACAAGACTTCTAGACACCGTAAATTTAATTTGAAAATTTCAGAAAACAAATTTATCCAGATTGGACAAGGGCAAATTTCAAGATTTAAGGAAAAAAATCAAGTATTGTATAATATTTTCTAACTTACATATAAATATTCTATTTTCAGTTCCTAAAAATGTAAATGTAGTTTTATTTTTTCAAGTGTAACTTGGCTTCATTCACATATCACAGTTGGCTTTACAAGAATATTTTTCTAGTTAAATATCACAGTTTCTTTATTCAGTGTCTCACATTGTACTTTCAATCATATCATTTTTTTCCCCAAGTTAATCTGCAAAGGGTTCACTGGGGAACTGCACAAAATATGGACTGCTTCATGAATCTGCATGTCATTCGTATGCAGGGGCCATGCTAATCTTCAATTTTAGTATTTGTGTAGTTTTAGTGATAATTATATTTCAGCTCAGATATTAAAAAAGTAATTTTTGCTAAAACTGCAGAATATGCTTATGTGTGAAACTAATGCTTTCTATACAAAATATAATTCTAATCTGTCTTTCATTTACCCAATTACTTTGCAATTATGAAAATTTATTGCAATTTGAAGCAAAGTGATCTGGCAAGATACCACATACGTATATTTTGGATGAATATAGGTAAGATAGTCAAGTGATCTTAACATAAACTTAATTATACCAATTGTCTATAGTGACATGAAACTTTGAAATGAAGTGAGCAAATAAATTGTGCAAATGGGAAAATAATTGAATTATCAATGTTAGCTACACACTTTAGCCCTTTGTGCTGAAATTCAGAACACCACATTGGCTATATAAAACTAACTTTAAATTAAATATGTTATAAAATTATAATCAACAACCATTGAATTTTCAATGGCAGCAGGAGATACCAGTAACTGTTTTTATGAGATGCCTTAATTTATAAAGGAATATTACAGATTTCAAATGTTTTCCTTAGTGGTTATAGGGTAGTACTATGTTTATTTATGCTTGTTTGGAGTATCTTTTTTAAAAAAAATAGTTACAAGAATGGACTAAGAAAGGAACCTCAGATAGAACACTAAATTAAATCTCAACTACTTTTTAAACTAGAAAAATTTTTGAAAAGAAAAATACATTTGTCAGAGAAAAAAAATATCTGTATTACACGAAAAATAGGTAAGGATAAAAACTTAATTAAATGCATAACTATATGCCAGGTAAAATATTATTTTAAGATATGCATTATTAGAGTAAAATAATGTATACAGAAATGTTTTTCCAGAATGATTTTATTTAATCTTTTTTATTATGATAATTTTTTTGGAAAAGTTTCGGGTTCATAGCAAAATTGAGGAGAAAGTACAGAGATTTCCCAAATACCTCCTGCCTTCACACATACCTGGCCTTTTCCATTATTAATATTAACAACTAGAGTGGTACATTTTTTAGAGTGGATGAATCCTAAAGTGAAACACCATAATCATTCAAAATCCAAATTTTAGATTACAGTTCACTTTTGGTTTTAACTTTCCATGGAATGTTAAATTGTTGTTTATTGATTTATATATAATGATATGTATCCATCATTACAATACCATACAGAGTAATTTTACTCTACCAAATATCCTTTGTGCTCTATCTATTCATCCCTCCACTCCCACAACCCAAACCTGGCGACCTCTAGTATTTTTACTCTCTCCACAGTTTTGCCTTTTCCAATACGTCATGTGGTTGGAATCATGCAGTATGTAGTTTTTTTAGATTCATTACTTTCACTTTGTAATGGGCAGTTGGATTCTTCCATGACTTTTCATGTACTGATAGCTCATTTCTTTTTGCACTAAATAGTATTCTATTGTCTAGATGTACATAGTTTATTATCTATTCAGATACCAAAGGACAGCTTGGTTTCTAATTTGGCAATTATGAATAAAGCTGCAATAAACATCCATGTGCAAATTTCTTTTTGGACATAAGTTTTCAACTCCATTGAATAAATTCCTTCTAACAACCATGAGTGAACTCTGAAGCAGATCTTTTGAAGACTTCCGATAGCCATTTGAATCTGGAAGTAAATTTACCCCTAGACAGACTTTGAGGTGCTTGCATATCCAGCTAACAAACTGATGTGGAGATTTTGATCCAGAACTACTCAGATAAAATAATTATTTGACTCCTTTTCTACAGATATTATGGAAGAAAAAGGTTTTATTTTAAACATTAAGTTTTGAATACTTTGTTACATAGCAATAGAAAATGAATGTGTGTAATGTTTTCAAAAATTATTTAGTCAACACATATTTCTTGAACACTTGTTGAATGTCAAACATTGTTCAAAGTATTACAGATTCAATTGTCAAGAGGAATAGGATTATGGATTTCATTGTGCTCATTTATTTTTTTTTCTTGATTAGGATTTCTTGCCTAGTTTTAATTTTCCTTTGATTAAATTTTAACTATATACTTTAGTAATTGAAGGCGATCATTAACTGTTTAATGTGAGCCAGATTTTACATTAAACTCATTTCTTCATTATAACAATGATATAAGATAGAAATTTGTAGGAATCACTAAGTTATTATTGCCTATAAACACCAAATCCACCCTTTTATACTCTGTGATTCTAGAGCTAGGCTATGCAAGCTGGTTTGAACTTTTAACAGTTGGTTCTCTATGAAATTTTGCCAACATGGGGCACTTTAGAGAAACTAAAAGACAGGAGAATGTAGGAAGGGATATGCTTCTTCCTGTTTTCTTAGAGTTCTCCTCAGTGTTGCCTTAGCAATACTCCATGTTAGTATAGAAAGTTGATTCTACTCTCCAGCTTTGCTTGCTCCTCCCAGAAACAACCCTATTCTTAGCCTTTACAGGTGCCAACATCAGAAACACATCCTCAGAGATCTAGGTTTTAGAACCACAGAGCCTTTATCCAAATGCCTCGGTTCTTATAACTCCAACTCACACTTTATTTTTCCTCCTAATTTGGCCATGATTGTTTCTAGGAGTTACTAATTTCCATGTTACTTCAATAATCAGTATCTTTCAGTTGTCCAAAACTTGAAAACAATTCTTAACATTAAATTCTCTCTCTCTCTAAATGCTTAGTGCGGTTTCTGTTTCCTAAGTGGACCCTGGATACTATAATATTTTGTTTTTTCTCATGTTGCACAAGGTCATAGAATCTCTGAGTAGAAGTGCTGAGTTGAAACTCAAGTGCTGTGACCAAAGGACTTTTGCATTTAACAAGTAATCTCTTTTGTTATGAGTTGTTACAGTTTTCTCAAAATTATTAGTTTTAGGTATTCTGAATTTTGAAAAAATAATCTGTTTTAGTTCTGAGATAAATCATTTCTAATCTAAAATGAACATTTACCCAATATCATGTATTACTAATGATTTTGAGGGCATGTAATTATGAAGTAGAGGTAAAATCAAAGTTAAGTCAGTAACAGCCAACTCAGTCTCTTTATTCCTTTCTTGCCACATTAGTATGAGATGTGGATTACCACTTACATGATACTTGCATACAAAGAGAAATATTTCATTTAAGAAACCTCTTCCATTTTATACACTAATAATTGCACTGTTTAATAATATTTTGCAAAGAGCCACAAATAAATCTGTAAGTTCCAGATTTGTTTACCATAAAAGTTCTAGGGAGAATAGGTATATTCTATAAAATGTATTCCATAGGTAAGGACTCTTTCACTTTTAAATACCATTAATACTTTAATTGTGAGTTTTATCAATAACATATTTTGAAGGGAGTTTTATTGGACCACTTTTCCCCCCCTGGTCTGTCTCTGAAGAAAATTTAAAAAAATATTCAGATCCACTACTAATGCTTTTATTCTCTAACTGATAATTGCTTAGGAATTCTTTTATTTTTGTGATATGCTTGCCTTTTATAATTTTAAGTGTGTGGTATTTGAAGTTATACTTCAGTGCAGTATAATTCTTGCTTTGTTCAATTATACTCCTAGAATTTAAGCTGTGCTCATTCAAACTATTGCTTTAAATTGTTAAATCTGGGATTTTTGATAACTTCTATAAGATATTTTTTAATTTTTAAATATGCATAAGATACACATATTTGTATGTATTTATATATGTATACACGGATATGTATTAATAGATACAGTTATCTATTAAAATGAAAACAATTAGATTAATTAGATTTAGGCAGAATATTACTCATGGCACTTAGGAAAACATGAGCTTCATGTTCACATTGGATTCTTTTGTCTTTCAAGCATGGGAATAACACAGAAAGTGCCTGGGTAAGTGCTGAATATGCAGTGATTTGTGTCACAGTTCAGAAATACTCAGTTTAGGGAACCCAATCTTAACCAGAAACTGCTGACAAACTTGCCCACACTTTGCCTATGAGAAACATTTTATTTTGTTTTATTTTATTTTTCCTGGAATATAAGCAAACCTCTACCTCTAGAACAAGGAAGGGGACTTGACCTGGACTATCTCCACACATATGTAAAATCTGCTCACTTGTCTATATGGAGATACTCTCTCTAGCTTTTAAAGGTGTTAATGTCTAGAACTGTAGAAATGCCAGAGACATGGAGAATAATGTCCCAGCAGATATACAGACTTATAATATGTAACGTGAAAAAGTGAAATATGGGCTTTTCCTGTCTTCTCCTGGATCATCCTTTACTTTGAAATTTATTCTACAAATATAACAATATACTTGAATATAATGATCAAGATAAGCCTTTCTTTCTTTTCAGAGCATATATTGAGGATCAATTTAATCCTAGATTTCATATAAAATAATATTAGACTTACAGAAAGCATGATAAATGTATTCAGAAAGGGTCAGTGAAGAGAAAATCTTCATCCTATATCCACATATCTCATTGACTAAGAAATTCATTAAATAACACTATTCAGAAAGTGACTGGCTTTGATACTTGCCTTTGATATAAAGAGGAAAATACTTCACTATCAAAAATGACAATTGTAGATCAACTTATTGAATTCCTATGAATTTATGTATCATCGTCGCTCCTGTGCTATACCAGTAAAACTTTTTTTCTCTGTTATAAAATAATTCACATAACAACAGAATTTATGTTGGACAAATAGTATATGTTCTTTCATTTATAATTCTAGCATTTTCTTCAAAAAGCAATAAAATATTAAAGTAAAATATGCAAATACATCCAGAATCATACACATCTATGGTATCCCCTAGCAACAGTGTAGTTGTACTTCCTGAAATGCAAATCCCAGATGTTATTAAATACAAGTCACATTTCTGACTCCATTAAGAAGAATCTGAATTGTAAGAACCAGCAAACACCTAACATGGTTAGTGTCCCTGAATAAGAAATAAAAGCATAATGAATTAAATTGCAATGGAACTGAGGGAAACCACATTAAGAATGGGCTAACATTGGCATTGGAACATTTACTGAAAAATACAAAACTAAAGCATA